AAAGAATTGTTAGTAACCCCTCAAGTAACAGTAATAATGGTGGGAATAGAGAAAGCGAAATCATCCATTCACTATTACGCGGGTACAAGTGGACAAATAACACCGATTATCAAAAGAAAAATCTCTATTCTATAACAACTGGCATAATATTAAAAATCTTACAACCATATAAAATCGTCAAGCTCTACTGAGGGATATTCTTCGGAACAAGTCTTTCTTTGAGGAATTCTGAACGGAAACTTTAATGAAACAGAAAAAAAAATTTACGTGATGGTAAATAGGCAATAAAAACCAATACAAAACTTGACTTTCAAGTGAGAAAATCAGAAATCTAATGACAACTATTTTCATTCTATGGATTTCAAAAAACCGCGAGTATGTCAAACAGAGACAACCTGCCTTACCTAACGAAGATGTAGCAGTTACTTGCAAATACGGAAATAATCGCCGTAATCGAAAGTGTTTATCATCATCGGTTTAGTTTATCATGCACTAGAAAACACCAGATCAGATTCTGAATGAGTTTTAACTCGAGTTGACGATAAAATATGTAAATAAAGGCACAAATTGTAGAATAAACAATGAGGTATCAATGATCGGCTGTGTTTTCATGGAAAACACAAAACACGTACAGTGCTCGTATGCCCTCCACGGAAATTGAAACTTTAAAGCAAACACCTCATTATTGTTAGTTATGATGGAAAATCGCAACCAAGAAGATGGAATCCGAAAGAGAAAACACTAAGACTTGTTTTCCTTTGTGCTGTACACAAGCATTTGAATTGAAATGGATTTTCGTATCTGCGTTACCACAGAACATAATTCTCTGACTCAACAGAATTCTGCGGATGGATGGGACGAACGGATGGAGAGAAACAGACGACCAAGTAGATAGAACAGACCGAACGAATCATATCAGAAAGAGCATTCGAGCCTAAGAGCGAGAACAAAAAATGTCGGGCATCGCCTCATTTCATTTTAATTATTACATCATTAGATAAAGCGAAGTTAAAACGAAAATTTTGATGACGAAAATCATTTTTAGAGAACACAACTTTGCTCTGAGCTAAATTTATTGCTTTTGATTGACATGACACCCATTCGATGATATTTGAAGAACAAAAGGAAATAAAGGAGGAATCTCACGAGTAACTGGCTAGTCTTAAGGGAGTGGACGATTAAAAACTCAATTTACATATAAAGTCATAAACTGATGAGGTCTTAAAAAGCAATAAATGAACTAAGGTCTACTTCGGTCATAAAAATTCTTGAGAAGTTTTCACTAATAACTTCAAATCATCCTGGAGGGGAACGATTATTAACGAACATATACCTAGGCTTAACACGTGGTCAAAAAGTGCTTTCATCCTGGTCGTACTTTACAACACGATGCTTACCAATTAATTAGACATTCCACTTAAAATTAAAACTTGAACAAATGTGTAATAGTTTATGAATTCTCCTGGTGAATGAAGTTAACAAAGTACTTATAATTTAAGAGAAACGCGTCGATAAAGTGAAACCCGTGTGTAAGCGATAAAATAAACATAAATCCTGACTTAGATAATCGATTGCGGGACCTCTCGATAGGCGAAGATTTTCTGGCGTCGACGTTGGTGGCGGAGTCACGTGGGAGTGGAGGATTGGCGAAATTCTTGAGGTGAAGGGCAACGCGACGCCTGTTTACACTGACACACAAGGTCCGGGAATGACGATTGACAATCCAGTCGATGCGTAGATGCCATAAAAAGTGACTTTATCTTACAGAGCACAGGATTAAAATAGTGGGTGATAGATGATGGATACTTTCATCGAGTGAACATCAAGCACAAACCTCAGTGGCGACGACTGTAGCGCGAAAATTTCACTCCTGATCGATGATTAGCTTTAGATTTTTAGATTTACAAAAGCATTTGTTTCTTCAAACTAAGATATTCATGCAATAACACGCTTTGAGTCTACTGCCAATGACCAATTTATAGTTCCAATTTTACTAACGTCCATTTCTATGGAACAGTTTATTTCTTTATTTTTCTCTCAGTATCTAGCTTGGTTTAACTAATTTGTAAATCATATGTGTTTGTTTGTTTGTGTATGTAGAAATCAGCACGACTATGAGTTATTTTATGGAGAGCAAATCACTAACTGGCACTTAAGGTCGAACATTAGCAGATCAGAGTATTGGAAGGGAACAACGTAAACTCAGGTCTAACGTTCTAAATATCGCTTTTCTGTATGTAAATTAAATGAAAAATGTCACTGTGATCTCAATACCATCAAGATCGATTTGGGGAGCATTTAGGGCGATGCTAGTAATGCTGTTCATTATGCAGAAGACTCAACTCACCGAGGCGAAGGTTCGACTCCACACCGGGCCATCAATTCTCTCATCTCCTGAGGGTAAGGGATAAGGACCAAACCTGTCTGGGACAAGCCCACACCTTCTTATTACGTGTAAACGCCTTAGAAAGGCTATCTCAGAATTCCAGCGAGAATCGACTGGACCACCATTCAACCAGTACTGCAACTGCAGACTATGCAAAAAGGTTCGAACACATTAGTGGATGATGTAGGCAAGAAGGTGAAGAAGTAGTGGGATCCAACAGCGTGGTAACTACTGTGCAGGGTTAGATCATTTGTTGATAAAAATAGAAGTGAAATAATGTGTTCGAAAAAGAAAGACGTCAAAGAGAAAACGCACGCTCGTTTCACGTTCTAGACATCATTTTTTCAAAATCTACAGAACCAATACTGTCAGAGACGAAAGTGATGAATCGACAAAGCGAGAATTTGACAAAACGATCAATGTTTTTGAAAACACATAAAGGGCAATGTAGAGATGAGACATTCCTAAATTCTTTTCAACACCAACTGCATTAACGAAGAACAATCCCTCCCTTTTATTTCATTAACTGCACAAAATGTACCAACGCTTAAATGTAGGAAAATCAGCGCGCTGCTGATAAATGCATCGATAACTCCTGGCAAATTTTACTCGCTCTCTTTTTAATTTCGCTTTGTATAACCTTGTTAGCCAACTTGATCATAAAACTACGAGTGAAAAATAAAGAACCAGCGAATTCTTTGTAGTAGCGGCAAAATGAGGAATTGCGAAAAGTAAACGTTGAAGAAACCAGTGAACGAAATGCGATCATATGTCTAGCATTAAGATAAAGTTACTTAGCGGCATCTACAAAAGTTCAACTAGACATCAAGTACCTTTTCGATTATTAATAAAGTACGAGGTTAGTATAAAATGTTTATTTGACTAACGATCCGACGTCTTTGCCTTCTTCATAGCAGGATTGATCCAACTCGATGGTCCACCGGTAGCCGTTTCCCGATGTGGCTATTTGTTCGTGCCCAGAGTCAAATCGAGGAAAGAGAGCACCGTCCGAATGAGGAATCTCATTCCAGTGTGCTTTTTTTACCCAAGACAGATATTGGCTCACTACTGCCATCCAATATGATCTGCACATTTGGCGGCAATGCATCCCGCAGCACTCGATGCTATTTTGGCACGCACATAGCAAATGTAATACGTAAACACAGAGTGTTAGTTAATTTACTACTAAAAAATTCTTTTTACGCCAATGTGATAAAAATGCGGAAATACTGGTTAACTCACATCTCTGATTTGTTCAATATCAAGGTATCTGTCTATTTGCTGTTTAAATGAACTGCCTTTACGAAATATTCAATATGCCTCAGTGAAATTTCAAGTACTTGTGCTATTGCTTTGGAAATAATCCTTCCTACAACCAGAGTGATGCCTCTCTCGTGTCTTCACCAAATACGGCTTTTAAATTATGTCGATCGCAATGAAGTTTGCTCTCCTACGGCTAAATTTTACTCAAGTGAGAGACTGCTAGTGCTATTGGCCTAATTCTTACAGGCTTCTAAATGAAACATTCGTAGCCTCTTTCTCTCTATTTCTATCTCTGCCTCTCCTATCCCACACAGGTCTACACAAAGATTCCGAATCCCTTTGAAAAACTAGGGACAGACCTATCAACTTTTTGTGCTTAAATTCTTTGTAAAAGTTTTTCATGAATTTTCCTCTGAAAACCAACGTAAAGCTTTGTACTTATTTTCTCATTTTATTATTTGTGAATGAACATTATTTACAATTTCAACTTATTATTTACTACCCACGCTTTTTTAATGGCAGGGTATATTGTGAAATATAACTTCAATGATGCTGAGATATTTGCAAAACTCCGGACCGCAGATGTCTGCGGTGGGGAACGAACGCGCTATTGTCCTTTCCGGGTAGTAACGCGCTCACCACCACACCATGCAGATCCTTCAGCGTCATTGAAGTTATATTTCGCAATATACCCTGCCATTAAAGAAGAGTAGACAGTAGATAATAAGCTGAAATTGTGATTATAACTACAGCCTCAGCTTAACTGGGTTCGCTACCTATTTGGGTCCTCAAGATCAAACCCGCTGACTGGTGATTGCTGTGGCAAAGATCGATAGAATTAGCTGAGAGATAGGCGAAGCGAAGGACCCACGTGGTGTGGTGGTGAGCGCGCTACTCCCCGGAAAGAACAATAGCGCGTTTGTTCCCCTCCCCACCGCGTATTACACCTGCGGTCCGGGGTTTTGCAAATATCTCATCATCATTGAACGTTATTTAGTTCCGATTTCTTCATCACCCGATCAGAAAATTTTTGATACTGAATGCAAAGCCGTTCAAGACAAGGAGTTCCCCTTTCTTTTATGGTGAGTTACACATAAATTCATCATCAATACAATCTCTTCGCTAAAAAGAATGCTTATTTATTGCAGATATTTATTTCTTATTCAGATACAAAATGCATTCTTGTGGGCATCAAACATGGAATGAGAGCAAGAGTAGTGAGTTGTAGGGTTACAACAAACCCTAGTAGTTATAAAAAGTATAACCGTCAACAGTTTGAAAGATCTATGCCTGTCCTTGTCATTTTTTTCCAAAAGAACACAAAGAGACACTTTGACAGAATGTTTTGCGACTAGTAAAATATATGGTGGTAATTTTCGGAAGGATTCACGGATTCTGTGGCGTCTTCTTTCACCAGCGGAATTTTGTGCCTTATCATATCGACAGCCAAGTCCAAAAGGTAGTCTATACATTCTGTCCTGAAGGAAAGAAATTTTGTACAACTTGCAAAGGATTCTGCATTATGAATCTAATAAAATATTTGAAACGGATATGATTATTTAACTTGATTTCCATAAATAAACTCATTATTCTATCACTAGCTATAGTCATGTCGTTACAACATACGACTTGTTCAGATGGCAGTGTTAAGAATGATCGCAAAGTCTACCAAGATTCTATAAGGTTGAAAAGACAGGAAAAATTTATCAAACTAACAAAAACGAGTCGATTGTTAGGTTAAAACAAAATGGAAGACAAAGCAATTATACTACTCACATTATCTTCGTCTTCTCCCACGTCAAACCCCACACGAAAAGCCCGTGATTCCGGACGAGCACAGCGCACGAACGTTGATGAGCTTTCAAGCAAGCATCCAGGTCGGGCTGAAACTTGTACGTTCGATGGTGAGTGAAACGAAAATATATTCAATCTAGAACATACTAAACATTTACGATTTGGAAAAATCAGAAAGAAAAACGAAGAACAAAAAGCTACAGTGAAGAAAAATGTTAAAAAGAATAGTATTGTCTATTACAAACACGAAGAAAGTGGGATTCTCACTCCTCTTATGCCATCTAATACTTAAAAAGGTACCATGAAGGCCGATACTCACCAAAAGCTGTCCTTCATGTGACTGGTTTTCTATTACAGGAATAGTCAAAGTATCCTCGTAACTGAGATTTTTTCCAGTAAATGGATCATAAACTCCTAAAAACGCCGATATATGAAATGGAATACAAACATAACATAAAAAGCAAAACGTGACAAATGAGTATCACTTTTTAAGCTCAATAATTCAGATACACGTTGAGTATAACTTTTTTTAATCACCTAAACTTAATAAAAGTATAGAGTGTAAAAGGTCGGTGAAGAATGAGGACTTGGTACCGAGCTGCGATATGAAGCTTACATAATCATTATTTATTACACGATAACATCTATCACCCTCCCAACGGTTTACCGCATCATCGTGGCCGGGAGGTGACCTTGGGTGTCGGACTGCGATGCACAGGAATTTATCTCCTGGCAGTCTCCCAAGCTGAGAAGGAGTCCGGCGTTTCCATCAGAAAACCTAGCTAAGAGTAAACCAATACCAAGATCCACCACCGTCCTGGTATCGAAATCTCATGGTGGCAAATGTCCCTCTGATTCACAACGGCTGCGACTGCCTGTGGTGGTGAAGACTTGGGAGAGGCTTGGCCAGATTGACCTCGGGACTCCAGGGAATCACAATGGCTTAACCAGCAAATCTCTGAAAATGGAGATTAAGCTGGGGCCACACAACCAGTGAGGACGAGCCATTCAAATATCAAGTAAATGTCAAGTAACATTTATTCTACTGTGCGGATGCCAGCACCACTTCTTGCACTTGACTCGTTTCCTCGCATCAACCATTAACGAAGGTCATCAAACTTTTTCTTACGTGTAGCATCGGCTTCTGTTTAGGAATTTTTTCGTCGACGTCGCTAACATCATTGTATCATGGTGGAGTAAATTTCTCCTAGACTCTTTAGATAGTCATGTAACCTTGTTCCAGGCACTTGTGGTCACAATTCTCCAATATTGGAGGGATGAGGTGCTTGCAGGACCAGGTGCTGGATACAGCCAGAAGAAGAGTGGATGGGGCCGGTCGCGTAATTAACGGGAATGCTACCACTGCGCTACCCACCCACGCGATGTAGAATTCATAACAAAACTAGCGTTCCACTTAATAGTGGTACTGGTACTCTGAAAGAAAGTAATCAGCCTATTTTACCTTTAATGTATTCCTGATGAGATATTTCAAAGAGATTTGATTTTACTAGCTGTGTTATGAGGTTAGCCGTTTTGCCATGAGAGTGTATCACACATTTAGATCCTTAAAAAGATTAGAATGAGTTCAAAACGTTGACGCCATCAAAACACAAGATTAAAAAACGTCACAGTGATGGTTAAGTCGTACAAAATGTACGCGAAAATACTGCAGAGTGATGGATCTCCTATGTTAAAATGATGTGTCTTCTTTTAAAACCTTTTTGTTCCTACGTCGAATTTCAACAAAATGCTCTCTTCTAGTGAGTTTGAAGGCTTTTCTTTTCTTTCAGCGATTTTAGTAAGGTTTACTTTAAATACCTTCACACCTGTTCGTTTCATTACCAACGAAAATAGAACAGAACATGACGACACATCCACTTTAGGATTCGTTGGTCGTTGAACTTGAACTTTATTCCGAAAGTCGTATACGAAGATATCAGACCTGCATAAAATTGATCAAAGCATTTTATTTAGAAACTTATCATGACGCCAATACGTTAAACAGTAGAACATCTTGGATCAAATGCAGAGAGAGATGATTATTTGTGCTCTTTAAAAAAAACAACTGCTTTGGGAAAAAAATTGGACGGCAGTGGGTCATCTACGACAACGCGGAGAGATTCTATCGTAATTGAATTAACTGTAAAAGAATCTTGGGATACAACCAAAATGAGCCCCCGGGAACGGTAATCGCGGTTCCATCTGACCTGTGGTCCACGTTTTGAAAATATCTTGGGACACTGTGGTTGTACTTTACATTATACCCTACCGTGAAAGAATAAAGGGCAGTAGATAAAAAGTTGTAATCTCAGCACAATTCACATATATACAACCAATTGCGAAAGAAAAATTCCTTCCTAGCATGTTAATATGGGCGCGTGGCGTAGTGATCGGAGGCGCCCTGCAATACACATGGGAACGATTCGCGTGCCCCAGGCCCACCAAGTCTTCCATCCCTTCGGGGTCGGTAAGTTGGTACCAGACTTGTCTGGGAGGTTAGCAGCACTAGCTCGATATATCGGTAGGCTACTGCGAGTTATTGTAAAGGCCAGACATGCATTCAGTCACCTCCAAACGATGCTTAATGAAGTCGATTGCATGGCGCATCCCTCAGGGAATGATCAACACTAGGAACTTTTTTCTACATGTTAGTATAAAAGATTTATATTCACTGATTCATTCTTGCTTGTCATTCCTTTGGATTATAAAACAAACATTTGCAAAGTATGCTTTGGTTCTCCTACTGTCCTTTACGAACAAAATCATGCACTCGAAAATTAGCATTGCTGTTTAATCTAAAAAACATGTCACTTATTCAGGGTTTCATTTCCTTCTAGCTAGATATTAAAGAAGAATTAAACATTTGAAACAGTCAAGATAACTATAAAACGACAGCTTTCTTCCTCGTATTTCATGAACTACAATAGCAACAGAATATTTCTCTGTAGTCTATATGTGTTTGAAAGAAAGCTGGAAAATTTATTATTACTTCATTCTGTTTTTCAAAACTACTTTGGCAGGAATTTTTCACGTAATGTTTGGTTGGAAAGTGGATTCCCTACGGAAGCAAGCTGCAAGTGGGAGAACAGTTGAAGTAGCATTATGAGGCTGTCGAACGTAAACTGCTTGTTGCAAAGGGGATTTTCAAAACATAGACAGCAGGAAAATAAGATAACGCAAGATCCTTGCTACACTCAAAATGTACATCCCTTTTCTAGCCGAACACCTTCAGCTAGTAACGCGAACAACCGAAGACATGTGTTATCGAACGTTGTTGCACACTACACGTACTCGAGCTCATATTGTTTGCTTCTTACTCACAGAAGTGACCATCCAGATTATTCGCGCAGGCTTTCTGTCCACTTAATGCAATTTCCAGCAGGAAACTGCGTAAAACAGCACTGAATCCAGATAACCAAACACAACTGTGTTGAGATGTTTGCAAAACGAAGACTCCACGCCAAATTCAAACCCGCGATGACCTTTTGCGGAGCTCACATGTTACCCACTGCGCTACCGAAATCTCTGCTTTAGCTTTCTCTCAGCCAGCTTTTATCATAACGGTGGTGTCAAGAATCAGCCATCAAAAGGAATGATATGAGGAGCACAAATCGGCATTCAACCCAGTTAAGCCGAGGCTGAAGTTGAAATCATGATATTGTTTAACTTTTTATTTACTGCCTATTATTTCTTCATGGCAGTATATTATGTGAAATTATGCGAAATACAACGACAGTGATGCTGAGATATTGGCAAAAATTGGACCCCAGTTTAGATTCGAACCTGCGATTTCCTCTTCCGAGGGCTCACGAGTTACCCACTGTACCACGGAGAAAAAGTAAACTTCTGCAAAATGCTGCACTAATTTCCCAACAAACCAATGTAAGAAAAGTTCTCTAAGGGCACAGATATGGGAAGGAGTTACTGGCGCCTTGTTACTAATACTAAACAAATGATATTGAATACTGATGAATACATTAAGCATTACACAGTATTGGAAAACCATGTGTTTCTTACGAAAATGGACGGCTTTTCGACCCATGAAGATGCTTTTAGGCAACAAGGCCTTCACAAAACTTCGCTTTAACACAACATTTACCTCATCATTAATAAAAAAAAGCAATATAGGAAAATAATCATAGCATCTTCCTAATGAGATAAAATCACAGCTTTCTAAAGCCCAACCAACATTTTTTCTCTTCTTTAGTTTGTTGTGGAGCTTTTATTCTTGGCAGCGAAGCAATTTAACCGACGTGATTCCTTAGAAAGGCGGACCATCACGTCGGCTAATATGTTATGACGTCTATTTATTTATCTTTTTACTTATGATATGGCGGCGCCCAACTAGTCTTAGCTAAGAGTTTTAAGAAATCCTATTACATTAGTAGTTTTCTAAATTTCCAGCTTGAAAACTGTGGTAAAGATAATAGTTGACACTTGACACTTGAATGGGCCGTCCTCATTGGTTGTTCGGGCCCCAGCATAATCTCCATTTTTCGGAGATTCGCTGGTTAAGCCATTATGGTTCCCTGGAGTCCCGAGGTCAGCCTGGCCAAAGTCTGCCCCAGGTCTTCACCACCACGGGCAGTCGCAGAACTTGTGGATCAGAAGGAGATTTGCCACCATACCACTTTGATACCAGGACGGTGGTGGATCCTGGTACTGGTTTACTCTTAGCTAGGCTTCCTGATGGGAACTCCATCTCAGCTTGGAAGACCCTGTTGTGGGGACGAATCCCCCCGCTTATAAATCGCAGTCCGACACTCAGGAACACCTCCCAGCCACGATGAGGCGGTAAACCTTTGGGAAGGGTAAAGATAATATTTTAGAAAAATACACAAATACTTAAAGCGACAGAATAAAAGATCGTCGATAGGACTGTTAAGTTTTCAGATTCCCGTGCACTCCAGTCATCGAAAAAACCACCAACGTGTTCAAGTAGTAGGAGTTCAAAAAATTAAAAAAGGGACAAAACTATTTACATAAAACAGTAAGCAGTGACGGATAGAAAATTTTTTGATGTGGCCATACTAGTGTTGCTTCCTCTCCTAGGCGTCAACAATGCTTTTTACAAATTCTAAAGTATAAAATGAAAAAAAGCCTGACAAGTCTTAGTTATTTATGACGGCGCTTCTTCATTAATAACAATTTCATTGAACTATTGAATAAAACTAATCGATTTTCCCTACACTAACTGTTCGAATGTTGACATGTTTAAAAAAACTAAATTTTGGACCATATAAAAAAGGATCAAGCCCTCGGCGTTGATCAATCGCTGAAGGGTGTGCCATGTCTTCGACTTCATTACGCATCGTTTGAAGGTGACCGAATGCACATTTGGCTTACACAATAATTCGCAGTGGCCTACCGATATATCGAGCTAGTGCTGCTATCCTCCCAGACAAGTCTGGTACCAATTAGTTGACCCCAGAGGGATGGAAGGCTTGATGGGCCAAGGACGCGGGATCAATTCCAAGCGTGTGCTGCAGGGCGTCTCCGACCACTGCGCCGCACGCTTCCTTTGAACCATAAAAAAGGTTAATGGCCACTCGCATTAATTAATACAAGAATTGAAACAACTTGTTTGCAAGAATAGATTGAGGTTAAAAGAGTAGGGAGTTGAGGAAAAGGAGAGATGGAGCGAGGTTGCAAATTATATTTGGCGAATGATAACTCAATTAGAAGTTATGAGATTCATTAGGACTTTTTTTATACTAGCTTCTCTAGAATTTCTAGCATAGAAGCTAATATTGGATCTTTGAAAAAAGAGCTTTTAATGTATAAAAACGACCTACGTCTTAAGCCGATCCTTTTGTAATGCTGAGGGCGATATTAATAGTTTATCACCAGCGATACATCCCATCGCTCCCCCAGTACCTTTCATCCAACCCAGGTCATAGAATCGACTCATCAACTCGACAAACAGGTCCGGATCCATAGGCTAAAATGAGCGAAACGAATTGTTCTGTGTAAGAAAAAAAATCTGAAAAGAACATATTTTTGGTTTGCGGCCACTGTTAGCCTTCATTTTTCCATGCACCTATTTGTCGCCCTTCATGAAGTTCACACTCTGATAGCAGTTAACGAGTTGTAACTCAGTGCTTTGTAGGTGGATTGGGAGGATTTCACCATACAAAGAATTTCGACGAATTCTAGATGACGAAGTTGGAAGATAAACAAGACAAACAACACACGAAGGAAACAAAAGAATCAAACGCAGTTCACGAGATAAAAATCAAATATTAATAAAGCCAGAAGAGTTCTTAAAGCAGCACAATTTTTATACGAAAATTGGTGCCAACAGACGTAAGCAGTAATAGAGCCGGTGAAGAAACGGATCACACTGCTACAAAGAGAAGATTCACTCCACTGGACGTTGGTGTGCTGACGTCTAATTCCATCGAAACCGACCACATTCGCAGAACAAAAAAATTGCTTCAATCACAAAATCGAAGGAAAAATCGAATACGACAAGACCATATGTATCGGTTCATTGTTGGAATACGAATGTACCGTGTTATCAGTAAACACTTGGTGAGAGACTACAACTGAATAGAAGAAATTCACTGTCTAGGACCACCGTAGAAATGAGGAAACGCCCTAATTCCATCAACTGCTCAGAATTTGTTTAGAGCTAGAACCGAGTTTGTTCAAAGTGAAGACATACATCGAGCAAATACTGAACACTAAAACTGTCAACAACGGTTTTAGCATTACTTATTTACTCACTTGTATTCTTCGGTTGGCCGTTTCACTGGTTGTGCGAGCACCAGCATAATTTCCATACTGGACATTTGCTGGTTTGACTATTGTAGTTAACTGGAGACCAGAGGCCACGCTAGCCAAAGCCTTCTTCAGGTCGCCCCAGGAAATCGCTGACCTTGTGAAACAGAAGGAATTTTGTCACCGTGCGACTACTTTGATATCATCACGGTGGTGATTCTTGCCATTGATTTATTCTTTGCTGGGATTCTGCATCGGATGGAAGCGTCGCACCTCTTCTTAGCATGGGAGGTCCTGCTGGTAAATTAATCTCCCGCTTGACGGCCCGACAGCCGGGCACACCTCTCAGTCACGATGCACGATTGCACGATGAGGCGGCAAACCGTTGTGAGAGGTTCTATCATTTCCAACAGTAAGAGGAAGAAGTAAATGCTTCAAACCGCAAAAATAAATAAATCTAGCGGGAACCACAGTCTAAGGTAGAAACTCGCTCCTACATAGCAAGAAATCCGCCACAAAAGATGACAGCGAGGTAAGAAACGAATCGAGGTGAGATTTTACGGAGTCGGTTCAAAACATGAACACTGGCTGGATTTAGGTAAGTAATATTAAGCTCTAAACATACAGAAAAGAAACCAAAACAAACTAATAACTTTATGAGAGCTAAGAGACCCCACATGGTGGTTAGCTGACAAATAACGACAGGGCAGAAGAGTAATAATAACTGAGAGCTTAATTAGATCAATGTGAATAGCGCTCTCAACAGCTGAAGGTGTTGTAAAAAGAGTACCTGTTCGTCATGTGTATGCAGAAAATCATCTGGCGACATTTCCATAAAGTTGACATCATCAACAAACGCAGTCATTTTCAAGTGATTGATGGACGTAACAACAACACGATTTAAATATTACATTAAGAATTTTGCATTCATGAACTCGATAGGGACGTTCGTGTCCACGAAGGCACACAGTTGTGTCAATAGGGCATCTGTCAATCGATCGATGGTAACGAGTAGCGCTTGTTTCGTTCGGTGGGCTACATTGTTACCACGAGAAGAACACTCGGTAGGAAGAATACAGAATTGGGTTCTGACATATGGTGACAAATTCTTGAGACAAAACACGATTCGAGTAGATTTTCTGTCTACTTTTTCTCTTTTTATCCTTTTTTTCCTTTCGAGAAGTGTTTTCTGTGGTATTTCTAGGCCGTTGCCGCCAATGACCTGCTGCTTTATAATCAATGGATAGTGTTGGTGGGTGAGAAACCTCGATGCACAGTAGGAGTTTATCCACCAGCATGGTTAAGACGTTCGATCTAGGAGCGATTTCGACATTTCCAATAGGAAGCCCAATTAGATGTAAACCTATGCCACAGCCCAACCTAGAAAGTTGCTCATAACTGCTTTCCCGTTACAGACACTGATATCAAAGTGCGCTGAGCGTGAAGTATAAGGTTCCTTGCTTCTCTCATTTGAGCGAAACCCTCAGAGCTCATTACGTTGCAACAAGCGAGTGGACTTTTTGTGGTGCATGTTCGAATCGGTTAAAGCCGAATTTAGTCAAACGATCAGCAAAACTTCTTATTTGACAAAATTGTATAGAATTAAAGAACGATTGTGCTCTATGCGATTAGAACGAGCAAAAGTAGTTTATTTTAAGAGCTCATGTCTCATTTTTGCTTGAGACGATGTAGCAAAACACACTGTGAACTTCCCTGCTTCCCTCGAATTTGCCTACCTCATTTTCCACGTTAGTCTTATCGGATTACCGTGATCGTGGATCTCACCATATTTATTACAATCGTTGAAATTTGTGTTTAAATTGAAATTTATGACGCAATCTTAGCTCTTCTTCCTTATTGTTTCTTCTTCTTTTTTTTTTGCTTGCAACTGGTACAGCATTCCAAATTTGCCGCCAGCACCACCCAGACTTAGGCGCGTGTGGCTCAGCGGCTTGGAGGCGCTCTGCAACACACACGTGGAATCGATCCCCGCACTCATGGGCCATCAAGCCTTCCATTCCTCCGGGGTCGGGAAATCAGTACCAGGCTTTCCTGGGAGGATAGCAGCATTGACTCGATGTATCGGTGGGCTACGGCGAGTCATTGTAAAGGCCACATATGCATTCAGTCACCTCCGAACGATGCTAAATGAAGTGTAATGCATGGCGCACCCCTCGGTGATTGATGAAAGCGAAAGGCTTTATGCTTCTATCCTTTTACCACCTAGACGTAAATACAGAGAACGTACACTGTAAAAGCCAGAGAACTGAGATGCTCAGAATCATAAAAATTTTAATGGTCTTGTTAGCTACGTGAACCAGTTACCATAATCACCACCTTAAACCGTTTTCCAAACCAATATTTCGTGAAAGCCGTTCTCATGGTGTAGATATGTCAATGTTACATGATTTTAAGCACATAAAAATTACTTAAGCGTTAGTTTAAAAGGTATGGCTGAAATTAGATTGAGCAAATTGTTAGGATAAATTCATGGTAAAGGAGCAACTTCGTTACGTCTTGGGCACTTTGTAATAATATGGTTTCCATTTAAGCGGTACAAAAAGAGAGGCAATCGTACCTCTAAAGCTATCAAAATATTGGCCACCATTAATGCCTTTATATTCATAGCGAAGAGAAATCGAAACATTTTCAAGATAATTTACTTATGTTTTTTTTAATGAACCGTCATTCCAAATTATGTGGATCCTAATATAGTTTCCATTTGACTAGCATTTTATGACTTGGAAAATTTTCGCATGACATCTCCACGTTGTGCTGCATATCACTGAGATGGTTCTTCTGACATTACAGCATTATTAGAACAGGATAAAGCTCTCCGCGTTGAACAATCCTTGAAGGATGCTTGATGCATTCAACCTCATTAAGTATCGTTGGAGGTGATTGAATGCATTTCTAGCCTTTGCAATAACTCGCGGTGGTCAACCAATGTATCGAGCCAGTGCTGCTATCCTCCCAAACAAGTCTGGTACCAATTTGCCGACCCTGGAGGGATGGAAGGCTTGGGGGCCATGGGTGCGGAGGTCGATTCCACATGTGTGTTGAAGGGCGCCTCCGAGCGCTGCGCCACACGCGCTTTTCATCAATGTTAGGTTCACAAAATAATACTAGCTTTGTCCTCCAAAAAATTTTGTACATTTTGTTGTTGATTGGTCTAAAGAAGAGAAAGCAAGAATTTTCATCCAACACCTAACATCCGCACTTGGCAAAAATCGAGTATTGACTCGAATGTGTTAAAGTGAAAATGGTGCAAACGTTTGTACAAATTCCATCAGCTCATCAATGCATAAATATTATATTATATCACTCATACCACTTCTTGGCGTATGGATTGTCGTTTCTGGCGATCAAACACAGGGCTAGACATGGCGTCTCAATTGAGGAGCAGATAGCTTCGAGTTATTTTCTGTGATCAGTTCTGAAACATCCTTGGTTGTGATTTGTATGGAAGTCACTATAGTTATGCGCATTCGTTTTAACTACGAATAATAGAGTGAAAAATAATGCAAATTCTCTGTGTTGTTACTATATTATTGAGCAACTGTGACACAAACATTAACATATTTGCGACAAGATGTGTCATTATAACTAAACGTATTACGGAAAAACATAGCCTAGATGAGTCACATATGACTCATTTAGTTTTTGCCTTTTATGGCCACACGGAGTTCTTTTTTCGGCACTTGTTGCAATCATTCGATGACTCGTCCAACATAAATGTTGGAGTGACATGGGGCGGAAAAAGCTATTCCCTACAATTAACAATTTACAAAAAATTTTTCGAACGAATTTGATCGATTAGTGATTTGATTTGTAGTGGAGTGATATTTCACTATAGAACAATCGGATATGAAAAGTCCGAAAAAAGAAACTAAATATAAGGTGCAAAATACTTCCAGTGCTGGCAACACATTTTTTCTTGGCGGACATTAATAACGCAAAGAAAATAGCAGCGTTCATGCTGAGCATACCTCTAGAGTAAAGTTTCCTGTCATGTTTAAAATCCTTCAAGTTCTTTCGTTATCGAGAAAACAACATTTACTGTAATGAAACCAGCAAGTCCGCGACGGGGATAAAATAAGGTGTCGACACCAGTGCGTTGTAGAACTAAAAGATACATTTCACATGCAGATTTCCTGTCTTAGTATATCATTTTTTTTCAGAATTAGGATTTCATAGCTTTCGTACACAGGCTTT